AACCCTGAAATCCGGAAGCCCTGCGGGCAAAGCGAAGTACCCAACGGCGGCCTGGTACTGGCATCTGCCATGCAAGCATGACCTGAGGAAAGGATTCGCTTTAGGGTGTGCGGTTTAAGTTTTGGGGCAGAGCGCCTACGCGTTACTATGAAAGATGGGCCGCAGCTACATGCTCCCTCCTCTCTCCATGTGATACCCTACACCATAACCCTTAAGCCCTAATCCCAAGACCCAAATTCCTAAACCCAGAACGTGGGATTGTGGTGGTTTATGCCGATATTGCCGATGCCACAGTAGCTCCTCCCATGCTTTCTTAGCATAAAGACCCTCTTCGAAACAGCCCCGAACAGGGTTTGGTGTTCAGGAGGATTAAGGAAATCCCAAAGCTCTGCATGTACCTTTGGATACGAAAAGCCAAGTTTCCAGAAAGCAGGCTCTGAGGTTGGCAGCTGAAGGTGCTGACTTTCATTTCCAGATGGTCTCAGCTTGATTGTGAAATACCAAAAAATTCAGGGTTTAGGATTTAGGGTTGAGGGCTTCGCCGTAAAGACATATGGCAGTTGCCATACTATAAGGGTACCCCAATGCAACAAAACAACTTAGCAAACTTCACAGGCACCCTGAATTCTGAGAAAACCCATATGAGCTATTGTCTAAACTCCTAGTATCCCCCTTAACAAGCCCGGTAATGGTCCCCTACATACTCCCCATATAGCCCCCTTCAATGATTTCAGACCCTGAACCCTAAACCCTAAATCCTATACCCTAAACCCTATATGACCCCGCTTGGAAGAATTTAGACGTTGGCTCCTATGGCGCGGCGAAAGCAAGCCGAGCACCCAACACTCGCGCTACCCTCGACTGTCTGCACCGCGTGGGGAGTGTTGACCTCGCTGGTTAGGGTTTTAGACTTAGGGTTTAAGGTTTAAGGTTTAGGGTTGTTTAGGGTTTAGGGCTTAAGGTTTAAGGTTTAGGGTTTAAGGTTAGGGTTTAAGGTGTAGGGTTTAGGATTCAGGGTTCAGGGTTTAGAGTAGGGTGTACTCGCGTCTGAGGGGAGCTAGAAGATGAAAGTCAGCCCCTTACAAAGGGCTTTCAGACAGGAACATCCCTGCCGAAAATCCCCCAAATTCCTAGAGAGCGTAAGTGGTAAGGTATAGCTATATGGGTGGTTGTCAAAATTATGGTCCCTTTTTGGGTACCCTAAATATTAGGTGCCGTAGTATAATAGGATCCAAGGAAAGGGACCATAATTTTGACAACCACTCATATAGCAGGTATGTAAAAGCTGTGTCTAAATGCAGACAACACCAGCACCTCAAGCCTATTTCATAATCTGAGTGAAATCTATGCCTGTGCGGTCCTTTATGGTTTATGAATAGGTTCCCTCATACTACAATGGGGGAACATATTACTCATTCCACAGTGCCAGCAAGGGTTCATGGGGAACGTCTTCCCAAGCCCACTCCATAACCCCAGGCCCGAAACCCCATATGCCTCTGCAACTCTTGAAGCACCTCTTCTTACAAGGCACCCGATTAAATGCACAAAGCGCTCACCCGAACCCCTGAGCCCTGAACCCTATGAAAGAAAGTACGGCTGCGGGGACGGAAGAGCCGTGTTCCTGTCAATCCCTTGACAAGCCGTGGACGTTAAAGCCTAAACCCTCAACTTACTGGGGGTCAGTAAGGAACAAAGGCATACGATGTATAGGAGTTACATAGGGATCATATTCCCCAATTCCCCACTGACCGCTGCAAGTGACTCTCTTAAACCTACACCCAAGAACCCAAAGCTCCAAAACCCGAAAGCTCCAAAGCTTTTAATTTCAGCGCCTGCGAAACCCTGAACCCTAAACAATTCAACGCAAATTACATTCACAACGACTTAGGGCTTTAACATATGAAACTTGTGGAAATAAAGAATGCAAATGATTTTCAAAAACCTAAGTAACTGCAATTCGCCAGAAACCCAAAGCCCTAAACCCTAAACCCCTAAAACCTAAACCCTTAAGCCTAAACCCAAAACCCCAAAGCATTGGTAGGTCCGACTTAGCTCCATGCGGGGAGGTAGATAAGCTCGCCAGCGCTGACAACGCCCTCCATGCCTAGTATGAGCCTAAATGAATAAAATACCAAGTTCATATGGTTTAGGGTTTAGGGTCTACGGTTTAGGGATATTAGGGTCTACATAGGATTACTTATAGGGGTTGTATGAATCACAGTACCCCAATGATGGAGACTTCAAGTCAAGGGAGGAGAACGTGGAACATGACATGGACACTGGGCTTATTATGGGGCTATACAAGGTGAATCTGTAATGTAGAAGCCTACATACAGAAATGTCATGTTGAGGCCTACTTGAGGTATCCTATACCATTAGGACACAAGGAGTAAAGGACCATAATATTGGTAAGTATTCAAAGCCTGTAGTAGGTTTCGTTCTTAGCAGCTCCCTCAACCGCAAGCAGGTATGGGGCTTAGAGTCTCCCAGCCCTGAACCCCAAAACCTAAAACCGTGAACCCCCAACCCCAAATCCATAACCTCAAACCCTAAACCCAAAATCTCAAACCCTAAACCTTAAACACCAAACCCGAAACCTTAAACCCTAAACCCTCAACCCAACACCTTAAACCCGAAACCCTCAACCCTAAACCTTAAACCCCAAACCTCAAACCCCAAACCTCAAACCTTAAACCCTAAACCTCAAAACGGAAACCTCAAACCTTAAACCTTAAACCCTAAACTTCCAGCTGCTTAGGGTTTAGAATCTCCACAGCTACAACTGCTTGAGGATCTGGACCCATGCGTCAATAAATTAGGATATGCGGTTCGGGCTACGGGTTGGGGTTTAGGGCTCAGGGTATAGGGCTTAGGGTTTAGGGCCTAGGGTTCAGGGCTTAGGGTTTAGGCTGTGGGGCTTAGGGTTTAGGCGTTCGGGTAGAAGAGCTCGGTTAATCGAACCTGCTACGCTGTACATCCTGACACTCAGACCCGAAAAAGCGGTCCGACCTCCTGACATGCAGAGCTGAAACATGTAAAGCTCCCAAGCCCCAAAAGCTGAACCCTAAACATTTGTAGGGGTGATGAAGACCTCCCAAGCAATGGATACGGGCCCAGATCCGAAACTTAGCTAGTCATGTCCCCTAAACCCTAAACTCTACACCCTAAACTGAAATCCCGAAACCTCACACCCTAAACCCACTGTGTTAGTGATCCGAAACTCACAGTCCTCACCATCCCGTAACCCCAAACCCGAACAAACCCAAAACTCTAGACCATCTTAGCTATAGTCTAAACTCCTGACACAGGTTATATAGGGTTTCGGGTTTAAACTCCTTCAAAGTTAGATAGCGGATAATATAGGGGAGTATTACAGGGCTTATAAGGGGGATACTCGAAGGTTAGACTATAGACCATCTGAGATAGTGTTCTTCCTATAAAAGACAGGGCCCTATAGGTTTTAGGGTTCCTTAACAGCAACCCAGCAATTTTGATAATAAGTCTTGCTCCATGATGGGGATTTGTTTTGAAACTCTCCACGCCGGAGCCGCTTCAATGCTTTCGCTGCTCTAACTCGCTGCTGCTCCGTTTTGTGTAGATTTCTGAAGTTTAGGGTTTAGGGTTCAGGGTCGTTGGTGGTTTCCCGGAATGAGTAATTCTGCTGGGTCCCCTCTTTAGGACACCCCCTGATCTGTCAAGTGCTTCTCTCATTTAGCACTACCCGAAACTTAGTCTCTTCTCCGCTAGGAACAGAAAAAGACCTCGTTGCAGTAATCGAGGGAAGCCGGCCTAGTGAGCCCAAAATTTCCTTACAACTTACCCCTGAAAGAGCCTAGTCCTGCTGACCAAGGTTGGCTTTACGCAGGACTGTCTGCGTCTTTTGACGGCAGGATGTGAGGATCTCCGCCAAAAGCTTTGCAGCAGAAGCACCTTTGCAGCCCCACGAACTGTCACTGATCATCGCAACCTGCAGACCCCACGCCTTGAAACAATAGATCTACTGCGACAACGTAACTTAGGCTCACACGCGCCGTCTCGTGTTCCGGGCTGGTGGGTATGAGCTCTGCCCGCATATTCAAGGTTGCCCACAAAGATGCTGAGAGGCCTGGCTGCAAACTTTACCCCACCCTTCTATCTTCCTGACACTTTGCAAAAATCATGACGATGAGCTGCACAAGTGTGTCTTGAGCGTCCGGCATAACATGCACGCCACATAAGCGCAAAGCGCTCAAAGTGCCCGAGAAGCCCACTGAATCACCTAGTCCCCAATCCTGCCTGGAGGCTTCCTCGCGCCGTTCACGTTCTGCATCTTGTCAATGCCAACATTGACATCAGGCGCTGCAGCCTGTTCCCATGAGCAAGTTAGACACGAAGCACTTCAGCAAGTTACCAAATCCAAGTAATGGCACCGAGCCTTCTGCAGCTTGGCGCACTTCTTAGGGACGAGGATCTCGTTGGTCCCCATCTGGGTGCTGATGCCCATCATGCCCTTGACCTTTCACAAGAAACTGCTGTAACTCGCACAGGACATGCCGGGGCACCGGACCAGCAGCATCTCCGGCGGTGTCTCCGCATCTGGCCCAACAGCAGTCCTGAAATGTGTAAACTGTGTTTGTCCGCAGCAGAGTGACACGTGCTGCTGACACTCGGCACGCTTGGCCTGGCTGTCCCAAAATGGCAACATGGCGCGGATCTGAGCCGGGTCATAGAAGCGCCCGCCACCCGCGCCAGAGACCCAACCTGCCAGAACCGCGCGCTTGCAGACAAGCTTGCGGAAAACAGAGCCTGGCCTTTCTGCAACGCCGACCCCGATCAACATCTGGCCATCCAAGAAGTTGACGTTCATCTTGCATCAGAGCTCGCTGCGCGGAAGAGTACAGTTTCAGGGTACAGGAACAAAGGTGCGAACGACACTCAAGCATGCCTCTATGTGTAACCCACGGATACTTTTTTTGCAGGGACGCTGCAACCCCCCCAAAAAAACTTCACACTCTGCACGCCTTATTGGTGCTGGCTTCGCTGGGCAAGAGAGTGATGGCAAAGCCATGCACGGGATGCCGCTCGCTGGGTGTGACCAGCAGGGGCATCCGGACGTAGGCCTGGAACATTGTTCGCAGCTGTTCAAGAGGCACCTGACTATCCAAGGCATGCCCCAGCCCAGCCTCTTGCATCAGCCTGTAGCCGCTTAGGAGCCAGCGCGCAGAGGCCGAAACCCCCAGCATGTTCTGGGAGTAGTAGAAGCTGCTGTCCTCCCTGCCCAGCACGCCGCGGAGCGTGCCAGGGTAACCTTCACGACTGTTGAAAACCTGCAATGACAACAAAGGCAAAGAACACTACCCACATATCTGCAACCTTGGCACGGCCTCCAGGGACTAGCTTCACCAGCTCCAGGGGCTTCTTGTTGAAGAACTCCGGGCCGAGCTTGGCGAAATGAACCTTGTACAGGTCGCCAAGCTCCCGGCTCAGGCGGCACTCGCCGCATGTCTCCGGCAAGGCGAGCCGATAGCCATCCTGGAGAAACACCTCAGAAAATACGAGCAACAAGGCAGAAAGACATTCGCACAAGAACTGAACAGAAAGGCCTCGCGAGCTTTAACCACATCTGCGACTGTGCGCTTCTGGAAGGAAGGATCCTTCGGCGCAACCAGGTGTTTGAGGCACTCAACCCGACATCCTGCACACTAAGCTCTGAAACCCTTTCTCTTGAATCCCACCCGGCAAACACTGAGTCCAAATCCTAAGAAATCTCAAGCTCCAACTCCTAAACCCTGAATCTACGCCCGAAAGCTCCCAAGCCCCAACTTCTACACCCTGCATCCTACCTGCACCCCCAACGTATGTAGAATGGTGGCCACTTGTATATTTTTAGCGGTCCAGAGCCACTACTTGATTTACTTTGGAGTTCCAGTTTCAGGTAGTCCCTCCACTGAACCCTAAACCCTATACCATAAGTCTCAAACCCAGAACAGACTTGCTTTGTAGCTGCCTCTGACTCGCGCGATGTTGGGCTGCCTACCTACAACAGATCTTGGTGTTATGAAGGGCTGTTTAAGCTTTCGGGAGTATAAGGCTCAGGGTTTAGGGTTCAGGGTTTCGGGTGCAGGGTTCAAGGTTTACGGTGCCTACAGAAAGAATGGACTGACGAACAAAGTAGCCTAAGTAAAGGCGAGTTTCAATTTGAACTCTATTTTGCCCATACCACAATTGTAACCACAGAAAGACTGGAACCATAATGTTGGCAATTTTGTACTTGCTTAGGACATCATGGTATAGGATGTTGAGAGGAGGGTGGCCTTTGTGTCCCAAGGGGTAAAGCAGTGGAAACGTAGGGCATCTACTGTTTGGGGGTTGGGCTTAAATTCAGAGAGCTATACACAGTAGATTGGGGATTACAGTAGGGTTCAGGATACATAAGTGTCACATGACTCTTATAGGGTCCTTATGTTGAGGGGGTTACCATTCCATGTTCAAGGCCTGTTAGTCAGCACCGACACACACTTCTCCGAAGGTGCGGAACAGATTTTGCCGGCACCGCCCTAGTCATGGACCCTGCAGATCTTGTACCGAAAGTCCTGTGCTCTCAAACCCACAGCCCTAAACCCTGACCGACCAAAATCAACACGAATCCGAATGTAAGGCGATGGGTTCCTTTCCAACTTTCAACCTTGGAATTTGAGGGAAGTGCTGAAAAGCCCGGTGATTGCAAGTTGCATGCTTGGTGTCCATGTTACGCGCTCCCTCTATGAAGTGCGCACGCACTAAGCCCTAAATCCCTGTATGAAATCTGCGGACCAACTCCACATGGCAAGAAAGCCTATGGCCTCAAAGCAAGTTTACCTGCTGCATATTGAAAAGTTGGAAAATAAAATGGAAACTACTATATAGTATATTGGTGTATATATTAGGGTACATATTAGAGTTATATAGGGAAAATGGAAAATATAATGGAAACTACTAGGTGTGCGGCGGATTCCCGCCCGTAAGGGAATTTAAGGGAAAATGGCAGAATTACTGGCCTGCGTGGTATT